CATGTTCGATGATGTAAAGGTCTCCCAGCGTCTCGTGCAGCAGCTCTGTTGGGAAGTCCTGTACATTCTCTAAGGTTATTTCCATTTCCTGGACCTCGCGCCTCAACGCGATCCATGCCAACAAATGGATGACCGTCGGGTCGGTCAGGCCCTCTTGCTTGCCTTGTTTGCTGTAGGCAGTGCATGAAGATCCTGCGGTATGCGATTTCGCCGCCTGCAAGAAACAATGCCTTTGGTGGCGAATGCACCATGCCTTTCGTTTGACAGCCTTCCGCTCCTTCATTAGTGGCAGCAAGACGCTGACGGCTAGAGCAGGTTGTTTCTGCAGCTGCGTCACAACTTCATGAAGCTCCTTTCTCCAAAAGGAACTTATGTCGGAGAAGACACATGTGTCTTCTCCGAGGTGCTTTGCCCAGAGCAGTAGCTCCTCCTGACACTCTGGGTCATACTCGATAAAGCTCCGGATGCACGGTTGAGGCACCTGTCGCGTCAAGAGCAGAATTGGACGACTGGACGTAACGTGGAAGATTGTCAGTTTTCAAGGATCAAGATGTGAGGACTGACATGCGTAGCGGACTTGGCTTTGTGTATCCCTCTCGCGTTTTCGCCTGCGTGCCTACCTGGCCTACGCGGACTTTTGTGCTGCGCGTGGCACTGTGGCCGTCTAAACATATTATGATGGCTTATATATAGCCACGTTTCAACATGCAGCAGGCACGCAAGCCGCAAGCAAGCATGAGCATCATCATGAGCATGACTCGTGACGGAAACATTGGTCACATGCACATGATGTCGCGAGCGAGACGGGGGCAGGCACAGGCCCAGTATCGAAAGCCACGAGAACGCTGCGCATCATGATGAAGCATCATGTGCCACGTGATGCCACATGTGCCTCATGCTCATGTGCTCTGTGGGCCTGTGGGCCTGTGGGCACTGTCATGTCTGAGTCTGTCTGAGTCATGTCATGTCAGAGTCATGTCATGTCTCATGTCATGTGCGTGACTGCATGCTGGCATGCTCCCTACCGCCCTACCTAAGCCGTACTACTCCATGCTCACATCATGGATGCATGGATACATCCTTCGGGCTTTTAAGCTTTTAGGGCTAGCATGAAACAGCGCTGCCGCCTGGATGTCAGGCAACAAGGCTTGCACTGTGAGATGCAGGCTCAGCAAAGCAGTTTCAGGCGACCCGATGCCAGAGAAGGCTGAGGAATGGCTGCAGTCCTGGATCCACTGTTTAAGATCTTGCATTGTCTTTGCACCATTGCCGTCCCCAACTGACTTCTCCACAAACGAGCGAAAGAAGGACAAACCTCGTTGAAAGGGATGTAATGCTTCGGGCCCTGCTGTGACGTGGTCCCAGTCCACATCCCTGCTGGACTGCAATCCCAAAAGATGCTTCAGTTTGTCCTGTCAGGCAGTGCTTCAAAGGCTCGCAGGATTTAAAACTCCCCAACAACAGCCGGTGGACTCCGGCTCGAAAAACTTGCCGTCATTCCGCTTCAATGTCATGTCACTGCTCAACTGCTGGACTGCTGGACCCTAGAATCGAAGCAGTCCTGCGCGTCCTGACCTGGGGCCCCACCCGCGCCGGGCACACTCGGAGCCACCGCCATAACACCCTTCCCGGCAGCACTTGCTGATGCACCGTCCCCGCCGCCCCGGCCACTGCGAGTGCCTCTCGCAGCAGCATGACTCAATGACTCAGCTTGTGTGTGCGTGCTATCCTGACATGTCCTACCGAATGGGGGGCCTGGAGTGCTATGATGCCATTCCGCCATAACCAGTTACCGACAGTTACAGTTACCAGTTACCGCCGGTTACCCGCTTGCCGCTTGCCTGCATCAGCATCTGCACGTTCACTGGCATGCGCCGAGGATGACGAGGCAGCCGCAAATACACGTGCGAACATATTCGCATCCGCTGAAGGATTCCTTGCACGGGCCTTTGGCACATGCCCAGCCATGATCAGCAACCGACCCTCCAAGTACCCCACTAGGCGAGTACGGGCAAGTCAGCTAGTCCTGAGACAAGTTGAACCAAGCACACAGTCGGCATGCAGGGAGTGCATAGCCGAGCAAAGCGCAGCAGTGCGAATCATATGACATGTCATGATATGGCACGGCAATGCCGCAATGCAAACAGGCAGAACTCCTAGCCTCCTAGCCTAACACTAACACTAACACACTTCTGGTACTACTGAATGAAGCAAGCAACGCTAGGCCCAGTCGGTACTGAGCGCTGGACTGAGCAGTCTGATCCTCTGGCCGTCGCAGTGTACCTGGCATGCGCGTGTTGCAGAGTGTGAACATATGAAGTCTCGGATCGCAGGACTCCTGCAGGCTCGATAGACTGGCACTTGGTACTACTATCAGCCTTTGCGGTTGCGTAAGTGTGTGGGCGTGGGTGTGTGTGTGCGTGTGTGTGTGTCACTCTCTCTGTGTGTGATGTGTGTGTGTGTGTGCGTGCGTGGGTGTGGGTGTGGGTGTGGGTGTGGGTGTGGGTGTGGGTGTGGGTGTGGGTGTGGGTGTGGGTGTGGGTGTGGGTGTGTGTGTGTGTGTGTGCGTGTGCACGAGCGAGCAAGCGAGCGCGCTGGCTCGATTGCTCGCTTGATGTGTGTGTGTGTGTGTGGGTGTGTGTGGGTGTGTGTGGGTGTGTGTGCGTGGGTGTGCGTGGGTGTGCGTGCGTGTGCGTGCGTGTGCGTGCGTGCGCGTGCGTGCGCGTGCGTGCGCGTGCGTGCGCGTGCGTGCGCGTGCGTGCGCGTGGGCGCGCGTGTGTGCGTGTGTGCGTGTGTGCGTGTGTGCGTGTGCGGGTGCGGGTGTGGGTGTGGGTGTGGGTGTGGGTGTGGGTGTGGGTGTGGGCTGTGTGTGTGTGTGTCTGTTTGTGTGTATGTCTGTGTGTCTGTTTGTGTCTGTTTGTGTGTGTGTGTGTGTGTGTGTCTGTGTGTCTGTGTGTCTGTCTGTGTGTCTGTGCGTCTGTGTGTCTGTGTGTCTGTGTGTGTGCGTCTGTGCGTCTGTGCGTCTGTGCGTCTGTGCGTCTGTGCGTCTGTGCGTCTGTGCGTCTGTGCGTCTGTGCGTCTGTGCGTCTGTGCGTCTGTGCGTCTGTGCGTCTGTGCGTCTGTGCGTCTGTGCGTCTGTGCGTCTGTGTGTCTCTGTGTCTCTGTGTCTCTGTGTCTCTGTGTCTCTGTGTCTCTGTGTCTCTGTGTCTCTGTGTCTCTGTGTCTCTGTGTCTCTCTGTGTCTGTGTCTGTGTCTGTGTCTGTGTCTGTGTGTGTGTGTGTGTCTGTGTGTGTGTGTGTGTGTGTGGGGGTGTGGGTGTGCGGGTGTGTGGGTGGGTGTGTGTGTGTGTGTGTGTGTGTGTGTGGGTGGGTGGGTGGGTGTGGGTGGGTGTGTGTGTGTGTGTGTGTGTGTGTGTGTGTGTGTGTGTGGGTGTGTGTCTGTGTGTGTGTGTGTGTGTATGTGTGTTTGTGTGTGTGTGTGTGTATGTGTGTGCGTGCGTGCGTGCGTGTGTGCGTGCGTGCTGTGTGCACGTGTGGGCGTGTGCGTGCGTGTGTATCTGGGTGGTGGTGGATAGTGGTGGATCTCGGTGTGGCGGGTGTGGGGTCTTGGTCTTTGGGTGTGGGTGTGTGTGGATGTGGAGGTGTGGGTGTGGGTGTGGGTTGTCCTCGCTGTCTGCTTGTGATAAGTGTGGATTGCTTTTGTGCTGGCGCTGATGGCACACGCTGTTACTACTAATAAGTGCTGAGCGCGAGGTGCTAAGCATATCTAAGTGGTCTGTGCTGTACAGGTGCTAACATGATATGCATGATATGACTGATATGATATGACTAAGCCTGACCAAGCAGTGCAGTTCCCAGTACAATCGCTTGCCAGTGCTGTCTGCGCTATGCTAACTGCTACGTCGCTGTCCTACGTCATCACCGAGCAATGAAGCAAAACGTGACACAGCAACAACGTGGCAACGGCAAAATTGCAAAGTGCTGTGTTATGCTATATTGAAAGGCCACGATGCGAGCAAGTCTACAAGCGAAGCCAGCCAAGCAACAGTGACAGCTGAGCAATTGGCCATGATTGATGTTTTGAGTAATAGTCCAGGAATCGGTATTGATAATATTGATAGTTGATTTTCTTTTGGCTCAGGCCCAGGTTGATTGTATGTCTGCCGGTCCCGCTGTCTATAGGTGACTGTTGGTTTGGATGTTGCGGTTTGCGTGATTGTGTGTATGTTTGTTTGTTTGGTTGTGTGCCTGTCTGCTTGCGTGTCTGTGTCTGTGTGTGTCCTTGTGCTTGTCTATGAGTCTGTGGCACGGTTCGCCCGTTTGTCTCTCTGTTTGTCTATCTGACTGTGTGCATCTCTGTCACCGTCTGTCGCTCGTATGGGATCACTGTACCGATGTCACCGAAATGCAGCAGCAATCGAATCAAAAAAAAAAGCCAATCTTGTCTACACGTAAGGCCCTCCCGAGGGGCCCTCGCCCCGAGGGACTCTCGGGAGGGAGGTCCCGAGAGTCGGGAAGGGGTTTGTCAAAGATATCATCCAAAGACCTCGACTGAGAGAGCATCCCTAAGTTTGTTTGGCCTTGTCGTTTTAGGATACAGCAGCTGGCAGCTGTGACCGGCGATCGGCGTTGGCAAACAACTCAGCACAGCAAGCAAGAATAAAAACTAATAAATTATACATGCCGACATGACTGATGCTACGCTTGCATCCACGCCTGCACTGGCTACCACGCATGTCCTGGCAGCGGTGTTGTAGCCATACTCATTATCCTCATTAGCCAAGCTTTCTGCATGCTGCATGCTAGCACGGTGCTGGCAGGCTGACTGGAGTGGAGCTTGCATATGCATGGTCAATGCATGGTGCAGCCACATGACATAGTATCTGATCACAGCCACATACACATGCAGTCCGCACTTGGAGTTTTACTGTGTTGAGTTCAGAGCAGCTCCCAGTTTCCAGGCAACGCAAGTCAGCAAAACAACTAACCGGCCGGCATCACTCATGAGCAAAGGCTTCCAGCACACAACGGTGCGTCATCACTGGAACTACTGGAACTACCATCTGGTCCATCTGCGCGGTGCACTTCCAAGTCTTCTGAGTGCTCAGACGTCGTCTCATTCTCCTGGACCTCATCGATCTCTGTCGCACAGTCATGACTGCAACCAGCCTCGCCGTTACCAGTGCTATCCCTGCTGCCGTGATCGTGCTCCAAGACAACGTCGGAGTCGGAGTCTGAGGTCAAGTCTATGGCGTCAGCAGGTGCTGCCGTCAGGCACGGCCAGGTTTGATGCTCACCGTTGTGAGCACCATCATCGTTGGCGTCAAGGACAGCTTTAGGCGACGGCAACGTCGAGACTGTCGGGGCTGGGGTGGCACGCATCTGCACATGTATGTGCTTAGTGATATGCTTGTGCTTGTGCTTATAGGCGGCGTGACTGTGGTAGTGATTGTGAGTGGTGGTGCACCAGTGGTTGTGCGTGTGATACTGCACATGTATCTGCGAGCCTGGCAAAACTGGACCCACTCTGTCCAGCGTCGTGGGCACGCTGGGTGGCCCAACCCCTGCTGCAACGTCTGGCTCGTGTGGACCGACCGACACTTCAGAATACGAATCATCCGAATCCGAATCATCATGCTCTACCTCCATCTCGGACCCGGAAGGGTCGGACGGAGAGACGGTCGGGACAGCATCGGCAGCCGCGTCGCCAGCCACGGCCACGTCACTGGTGTCCATAGGCACGGCATCATCAGGCGCATGACCTTCTGACATTCTTCCCGATGCCTAGTTACGGCACTGCACTCATGACAACCAGCATGTTGTTCCTGCGCCCGTGCTTGCTGTTCCAACGTTCTGTTGTTGTTAACCAGCAATTGTGTTCATTGCGGCTACGACGTTAAGCTTTTGTGAGTGCACAGCAAAACCACTGAAACTGAGGCCTAGCCTGGCAGGCAACTCAACACAGCATCATGCAGCATGTGGCGAGCCTCTGAGAATAGGAAATGCAGGCAACGCAGGCATGCACGACTCCACGATGTCATGGTCCATGACTCCCATGATGACATGTCTGTGAGACAGCCGTGTCCGAGAGCAGTCATGTGACATGTGCAGTCATGAGCAGTCGTGTGGCGACGTGTGGGGTGCATGCAACATGGCTCTTTCAACCAGCCAGGCCTTCTTGTTCTTTCCTGCTGGCGCTGCAAGGCAGCGGATTGCATTCCTGGCATGGGGCAGGACAGGATGCAGTGTCAGAATGCACATGCATTGCGCGATTAACGGTGACTGCCATTGCTCGCGGCACGGTCTGGTATTTCTGGTGCACACATCAAGCCGTCCGAGTCCACTTCTAAAGAGCGCCCCAGGAGAGCCCCAGCACACACCTCATTTATGCGGCTGAGGCTGATGCTCGACGTTCGCTCTTCGGGAGATTGACGGGCTGCGGAGGAGGAGGTCCATAAGGTGGTTCCTTCTGAACACGCTCGGGACTCTCATCTGTGCTCAGCCCTTCCTGCAGACGGTGTACCATGAGCACGATGCCGCTGTCCGACGAGGCTGGCGACGATCCCCTGTACTTGGATGACAGAGATCGCGGTTCACTTGAGGAACTTGAGGCCCTGATAAGCTCGTGGCGTGCACTTGGCTTGGACATGCTCGGGCGCTTGGAGATCGACTTGACTGGGGCCGCCTTGGCCTTGGCTGTCGAGGGACGTTTGACGGCTCTTGACGTAGTAGAGCAGACTGCAGGTCTCTTGTTGACTTGCAGCGCCATGCCCGAACTGCCAGCAATTGGCAAGCAGTGAGGAAAGGCTGAGGAGGCTGAGGAAAGGTGTTTGACTCTCGCGGCTGCACTCCTCCATGCGCACTGTCAGACTGTCATTGAACTGTGTGAACACACAAAGTATGAGAAGTACACACGTGCATTGCATCATGAACTCGGGCACTCATAGGCTCAGAGGCTGTGGGGCTATGGGCACATGGCACATGATGCTGGCACATGGATAATTTCTCAGGTTCTTATGATTTAAGATTCATGATCATGCCAAAGCAGGACTCCACTCATTGCAGACGACACGGCAGGCCTCGAATCCCGATGGTGACACCGACGAAGCCGACGTGTAGCCATCAGCGAGTTCCAACCTGGGCCAACAGCTGGTGACGACGTTGGTGCAACACAAGCAATGCTGGCAGCGCACTGCCTGTGCAACTCATGACAGGACACATGACTGTAGGCATGCAGGCAGGCAGGCAGGCTGTCTCAACGATGTCGAGGTCGAGCTGAGCAAAAGCTTGCTTTTTATCGCGTGCACTATGCGGGCGTGGCCGGCGCCCAAGAGTGCAATCCTCGGGGCGGTCCACAGCAGCCCGCCATTACGACGATTATGCCAGCCAAAGCCTGACATATTGGCCATGGGCCCATGGGCCCATGGGCCATGTAAGCACAGCAACTCAGACTCAGACTGACATGAAATGGTGACATGACATGTGACATGAGCTGATCAACCTTAGGCGAGATAGAGGCAGTGCCAGCAAGGGGCAGTCTGGTCAGTCCACATCAGCTGAAGGTTTCTGCTTGCGGCCCTGGCGGCGCCTCTTTTGACGATCCTTCCACTGAAGAGGAGGACTGGGACATGGCCCAGACATGCAGCATGCAGAGAGACAGAGAGAGGCAGTGCGCAGCACTACGGCATGGCTCGTGACTTATGCCTAACTTATGCCAGAACTTATGCCACATGTCAAATGACTCATGAAGCAGTGAAGCAGTGCCAAGTTTGCACGGCACGTCAACCCATCAGCCCATCATGTGTGTCCCATGGTCATGTGTCCTTGTCCTGCTGACGTGGGTCGCGTGGCTCGTCAGCCGCGGCCGTGGCCGCGGCCGTGGCTGCGGCCTCATCATCAATAGGATCCATCGTGACCTGGCTCCCATTGCCACCGTTGCCACCCTTTGCATCCTGCTCCTGGTAGTCAGCCAACAGAACAAACAAGGCGCACCACGGCCCGACACCACTGACACCACGGCCCCACTGCTGTCAAACGCCGATACAATCATGTTCAATAATGTTCTCATGGAGCAAGCACCAGCACCGCACACGTGGCAGAAACTTGCGACTCAATACCTCTAACGACTCAGCCGCTGCAGTACTAACACATGCAGTCACATGCACTGTGACATGAGCAGACATGCACACGCAGTAGCTCGCACTTGTGACTGTGACTCCTTTCATGTAACCATGTCAATTATCATGCGGCGCTGTCCTCGTCAGACTTTCCGAGTCCATCGTACATCTGTTCCAGAGCCCGTGTCTGCGGCGTCGCAGAAGAGGCAGAGCGGCTACTTGAAGAGCTGTCCGAGGATTCCGAGTCCGAAGATGGTGAGGTCGTCTTGGACTTCCTGGAGCTTTTGCCCTTGGGGCGCTTCTTCCGCTTTGCATCCTCCTCATCATCCTGGCAGACAACAGAGATCGAGACACAACAGACCGTTCAACAGACCAGAGGCACGTGCGGCCGAACTCGGCAGAACCACTCACTTTGCGGCTCCAAAGGGGCCTTCGCGGCCTTCGCCTTCGAGCCCCTCGAGCTCCGCTTTTTGGGCGATGCTGCCTGGAAACACTGGAGACGTGACATCAGACATCAGACATGGGAACAGGCAGCTCCACACGCCCCATCCCACGGCATGTTGGGGGCCTTCTTCGCCGGCTTGGCAACAGCCGCCTTTGCCGCCTTTGCCTTGGCCGGCGTCCCAGGCTCCTGCTCATGCTTCACTTGGCTGCGACTGAGGAACACTTGGTGACTTGGATCAAGCAGGCACCACCTGCCGTAACTGCGTAACGTAACCAGATTTAAAAAGGCTTGTGTTGCATAGAACAACAGAGACACCGCAGCATCTGCTTGGCTTACATACTTCCTGTCCTTGGCTGCGGCGCGCGGCTTGGATCCATGCCCACGCCCACGCCCACGCTCCTCCTGCAAAGAACCACAGAAAGTCAGTAAGGCAACTGGCCATGACTCTCATCACGGGAGGGGAGGAAAGGGTGAGGCGGCGACTGCTCATGCTCACGTGGCGCACATGCACTGCACAGATCGCATGTCTCATGATTAGTAGCTATCATAGCTATCTCATAATCATGAATCATGGCAGATGGCAATCTTCGTCATGTTGATGTGTCGCGTCATGTTGCATCAATGCACACAGACTGACAGACCATCACGTGAGCATCCCTTGCATGTGTCTCAAACTCTACATGAATCAGGCCTTCTTGTTCTTGTCTGCTTCAGCCGCCGACGCCGACGCTTGGCCCGCTTGGGTCCTTATCTCACTTTTCTGCCGCAGCTCCTGAGCATGTGCAGATTATGTGACTGCAAGCAATGTGCAAGCCGCCCTACTGTTTACCGGCTGACCCTCGCCTCAGCGAACGTGTGTGCAGATTTCTCCGTCGACGGAGACTTCTTCTCGTCCTGCGACAAGCTGTGACCCAGACTGTGATTAGACAAGCGCGCCTCAGCGATTGTGCCCTCCTTGGGCGCAGCTTTCTCCGGTTTCTCCGCCGCCTTCGACTTTTTCTCGTCCTGCGACAAGCAGCTGTGACTGTGATTAGAGAAGTGTGAAGTGTGCCTGAGCGAACGTGCCCTCCTTGGGCGCAGCCGCTTTCTCCGGTTTCTCGGCCGACTTCGACTCCTTCTCGTCCTGCGACAAGCTGTGACTGTGATTAGAGAAGTGTGCCTGAGCGAACGTGCCCTCCTTGGGCTCTTTCTCCGCTTTCTCGGCCGACTTCGACTCCTTCTCGTCCTGCGACAAGCTGTGACTGTGATTAGACAAGCGCGCCTCAGTGAACGTGCCCTCCTTGCGTGGAGCCTTCTTCGGTTTCTCCGCCGACTTTGACTTCTCGTCCTGCGACAAGATGTGACTGTGATTAGACAAGCGCCCCTCAGCGAACGTGCCCGGTCCTTGGGCGGAGCTTTCTCCGGCTTCTCCGGTCTCTCCGCCGGCTTCTTCTCGTCCTGCGACAAGCTGTGACTCTGATTGAACAAGCTAAACAGACGGCATGACGGCCTTGCCAAGCCACTCACGCGGCCCACGCTCTGGCTCCGGCTGCGACTGCTGAGCCTGAGAAGCAGCGCGGTTTAGTTTATGTTAAGCTATAGCAGATGCAGATCTCCTACTCTTGTTGACAGAATGATGGCTGACTGACTGCGATCAGTCATATTGCCTCCGGGTCCCCGCCAGTCGTTCCCGACGACTCCTCCTTGGCTGGCGGCTCCTCCTGAACAGCAACACAGCAACAATGGCAGCAAGAATTAAGTAATGAATGAGTAATCCACGCCCCCAGCTTTGCCTTCGCAGCAGCGCGAGCCGGCGTTCTGCTGCGTGACCGTTGGCCACGCCGCCTCTCCTGAACAACTTCAGCTCCGGACTAACCCCACATGTCACATGATCCACATGCCACATAACTGTCGTTGTTCTTCATTAACTGTTGCTGGGAACACCTGAGTCTGTGACTGCAACTGTTACACGACATCACTAGATGTACTAGATGTATGTATGTATGATGTTATGATGCTCCAGTTCCAACCGGTACATAGTTCACAACGATTCACCGCGACACGCGCGATGCTGATGTTGATTGTTGAAATTGTTGATGTTGAATCATTGTCTAATGTTTCCTGTGGATCCTTGTTACCTTGTTCTATGAGATTATGCTTACGACTCACGACACTATTGATAGACAGCTGACAGACAGCCTGATAGCCTGATAGCCTCTGACAGCTAACAC